AGATCGATTTACCCAAATCCAATTAACATTGTCTGGGAACATTTCTCCTCTTCAGTCCTTAGATATTTTTTTCCTATTCTAAGTATTTGCTAATTCCACCAAGATCTGTACTAAAGTTTGTTTCAATTAAAATTACTTCTCAACATTTATCACTCCTGTATTCTTGACACCATGCATTTCCTTACTACTCGTGTGCCTCGGTTTCCACAAGGATACAGTATCACTTTCTCTGAATATAATACCTTACAGTTTCAGGGCTCATCCATTCGATAGGTGAGTTGTTACACACTCCTTAGCGTATTTTAACTTTTATTGTCATCGTTCTTTTGTCAATATGAACAAAAACATGTCAAACTTTAAAATAATTGTGTTTATTAATTTATTCCAGGGTAAAAAAACAAAACCCGGAATTATATTATAAATTATATAATATATTATCTATTAAATTTTTGGGGCTAAAAAGCGGGAAATTTAGCAAAACATTCCAAAAATTAAAAGGTAAAATATTGATTTTTATGTATTTCTTGTTAAAATACAAAAATAGCCTCAAATACTCCAAATTTAGTATCAAAACCCTCGTTTTTATACCATTCTTTCATTTTTATAGGCTTACTTGACCGACTGTACAAGGGTGAAACTGAAAATATAAATTTGAAAGTGGATGTATTAATTTGGTGTTTTTGATACCAAATTTGGCATTTTTCTAGGTTTTATGATTCGTAAATTAAGCCAACCCCTTCGATTTGAATTTGACAAAGAAAAACAATGCAAACAAAATAAAAAGAATCAATAATTATGTTTTGGAATGATTCCAACATATTAATATTTTAATAGTATTTTAATTATATCAATGGTTATATAAAAATTCATCATGGATTTGTGTGTTTTTAATTATCAATAAAAAATAAAAAATGGATCAATGGTAATAATTGTTATAATTAAACCATTATAAATAGTTAATGGTGTTTTATAGTAAATTTCTTATTATTCAATTGTGTTTTCAGGGTTTAAGACAAAACATATCCCATTTACAACTTGATAAATATTTTAAACGTGTTTAAACATGTGGGTGAGTGTTAGCTTTATGGTTTGTTTATTTATTTATTACCAACGCAGTTATTTAAAAATGTTATATTGACGTTCAGATTAATTAATGCAGCTTATTATTACACTTTGGTTTGTGTTTTTCATACGCAGGCCTTTTGTGAAGGCCGTGAAACACAACCCAAAA